AGAAGAGGGCATCAGATCCCATTACAGATGGTTGTGAGCCACCATGTGGTTACTGAGAGTTGAACTCAGGACCTCTGGAAGAGCAGTCAGTGCTCTTAACCACTGAGCTATCTCTTCAGCTCCGTTGGCATGCATTTTTTTTTTTTTTTAAAAGCATCTCACAGAATTCTCCAGTAAAATTATCAGGATGCAGACAATCCATTTTTGGAATCTGTCATGCTAGTAATTATGATTCTTTACTTATTATAGGACTAGTTAGATTCTTTTGCTACATTTTGGTTTTAGAAAAGTTGATCGAACCTTTTTTAAAGTAAATAGGTCTCTTCCACTGTAATTATGAAAGAGTTAAGGGTTTGTGGTGGATGCTTCATTATTGTTTTTTCTTTCCCTTTCCTGGAGACAGGGCTTCTCTGTATAACAGCTATAGCTGTCCTGGAAATTACTTTATAGACCAGGCTGTCCACAAACTCTGAGATCTGCTGCCCTTGTATCCTGCATGCTGGGATTAAAGGCATGCACCACCACTGCCCGGCTCCTTGCTCTTTTCCTAATACTCTTGAAGTGGGAACTTATTATTCCCTGATATTTTAAATGCTGTCAACCTCCCATGACTCCTTCTGCCTGCACCTCACATGTTTTGACGTTTTATATATTTTCATTTGTTAATAGTCCAAAGGGTATATTATCCACTATCTGTGATATTATCTCATTCATATGATCAAACAAGGAATTTTAGCTCAAATTCTCAACACTTTCATTTATAAAGAGAAAAGAAGAAAACGCAATATTCCTCAAAAGCATAAGTGTACATTTGTAACAATTTAGAGCTATCCTGTGAATCCTGGAGGATGACCAGTGAAACTTTGGATGGGCTAGGGGTGTAGCTAAGTAGCTCACATGAGGACCGAGATTCAAACTAAGCACCCAAACCAAATCAAATCAAACCAAACCAAAACAAAACACAATGGAATAAAGAAGCATAGACACTGCTTGCTGTGTGTGTGTAGGCAACGTGGCAATCTGGTCCTCTTCTTTGAATTTCACATCATGTACCCCAATTCCACTCATTTCCCTGTGCCTTCCTATCTGCTCTCTGCCCTTGGGACCTCCCTTTCAAAATAAAAACAAACAAAACAATCAAACAACCAAAAATCTCTTTGTGGAAGATAGAATGTGTCACAGCGTGTCCCACAGCGTACTCTTTTGCCCACACATCTTTCCTTGCAAATGTTCATTGCAGTGGGTCTGGCTCAAGACCTCTGCTTCTGCTACACTGTCAATACTGGATCCTCGGGACTCCTCTCAGATATCCTGTTGTTCCCCTATGTCATGGAGATACTGCAGTTTTGGATCTGCAGGACTGGCCCCTTCATGCATTCCAGGGGTTCATAGATGAGGTAGATGTTGGGGTGGTCCAACTCAAAGCCTTTGAAAATTGAAAATCAGCCTGCTCTCCCACAACCACACGGTCAGGGTGAGCTCTCCAGCACTGCCTGGGCAAGTTCACCTAATGTTTTAGTCAGCAAGGGGCCAGGCCAGCTCTCCTGCCTGATACAGGTATGGAGGGTTAGGGTCATTTACGTTGGGAACATTCAAAATCTTCCTTTTCTAAATATCTTGAAGAACACAGTAAAAATTTTAAATGTATCCACCTCTCCCTGCTGTAGCATATTAAATTTTATCCCCATAACCTAAGTGATCTCACTATAATTACCCATATAATGTGCTCATTATGTGACATTTAATATTACATTAGTTTAAATGACATCTTGGCGTGTGTGTGTGTGTGTGCATGTGTGTGTGTTCTGAAACAAAGTCTCATGTTTCCCGGGCTGGCCTCAAACTTGCTATGTAGTGGACACTAGGATTAAGTGCCTGCTCTTCCTCCTCTTGTGTCTGATTGCTGGGATTGGGATTGGGATTACAGATATGTATCAGTTTGTATTATTCCTTTTAAGTCTCTCTCTCTCTCTCTTTCTCTCTCATACAGGGGTTCCTCCATGTAACAGTCTTGGCTTCCTGGCTGTCCTGGACTCAATCTGTAGACCAGGCTGTCCTCAAACTCACAAAGATCTGCCTGCCTCTGGCTCACGAAGTGCTAGGATTAAAGATGTGTGCCACCATCCCTGGCTGATTTCTCTCTCTCTCTCTCTCTCTCTCTCTCTCTCTCTCTCTCCCTCCCTCCTTCCCTCCTTCCTTCCTTCCTTCCTTCCTTCCTTCTTTCCTTCCTTTCTTTTAGATTTATTTATTTATTTATTTGAGTACACTACAGCTGTCTCAGACACACACTAGAAGAGTACATCAAATCACATTACAGATGGTTGTGAGCCACCCTGTGGTTGCTGGGGATTGAACTCAGGACCTCTGTCAGAGCAGTCAGCGCTCTTAACCACTGAACTATCCCTCCAGCCCAGATTTATTTTCTTTTTATTTATGGCAATTAAAGAGTATATCATTTAAGCCGGATGTGGTGCTGCGTAGTTTTAATCCCAGCATTCTGGAGACAGCCAGGAAGATCATAAGGCTCACCTCTAGGGATTCCATCCCCCTCCTTTGAATCTACTCTTAGCCTGTAACTAACCATTTGGCCAAGCTGACTGCTCAGCAACGCATTCCAATCCTCCCGTTTCCTCCTGGGATCACAGATGCTCCATTCCACCAAGCCCATCCTTTAAACACAGGTTTTGGGGGTCAACGTATGTTTGCAAGGCAAGAAATTTGCTGATTGAATTATCATCCCATTCCCATTTCACAATTTTTAAGACTTTAAACTAGCTGGGCGGCATGGTAGCATACAGCTTTACTCCCAGCACTTGGGTGGCAGAGGCAAGTGGATCTCTGAATTTGAAGCCAGCCTGTTCTACATAGTGAGTCCAAGGACAGCCAGGGCTAGGTAGAAAGAACTTGAAAGACTTTAAAATTCGGGTTACCTAAAACACTAAGTAGATGGCGATCGATTTTAGCAGGGATAGGGTAGGGTAAGACTATTGATTGACATCAAGCACCTGTCCCTTTCTCTTGCATGCTAACGGAGCCCTGACTTTGCTTGAAAAGGGAAAATATTTACCCAAAAGTTCATAATTCCCTGTTTCGAAAAACAAAAAAAAAAAAATTCATAATTCCCAGCTGCCCTTGCAGAAACAAACTAATATTTTATTTGTGTCGAACTTATTTTCTCCCTTTCTGTCATATACTGTATTAAGAGAGTTCTGAGGAAACGGAGCAGGCGAGGATCTGAAGAGAGAAGAGGTGGGAAGGAGCTGCCGGGAGTGGAGGGAGGGGAAACTGTGGTGGAGATGCATTGTATGAGAGAAGAATCTATTTGCAATTACAAAAAAAAAAAAAAAAGTTTGGCACTACACAAGATTCATCGGTAGCATGTCTAAACTGTAAAGCCTTCTGTGGCAGTTTGACTAGGAATGGCCCCCACAGACTCACCTGTTGGAATGCTTGTCCTATAGGGAGTGGCACAACTAGGAGGTGTGGCCTTGTTGGAGTAGGTGTGAGCTTGTTGCAGGAAGTGTGAAACTGAAGGCCCAGCTTTGAGGTCTCCCTCTGCTCAAACTAAAACAGCAAGCCTGCCTCAATTAAATGTTTTCCTTTGTTAAAAAACAAAAATGTTTTCCTTTACAAGAGTTGCCATGGTTATAGTGTCTCTTCCCAGCAATGAAACTGTAAGACACCAACTATGTGGAACACGGAGGTTTCTGAGCTAACTGTGGTGGACCCTGCACCCCAGAACTCCATGTGTATTGGGCTGGCGTGGCAGGTAGGGGCGTTGGCAGTGGGATGCTACAGGGTCCATGCTAGGACCGAAGCAGATGGCAAAACAGGCTCATTTCTTTCCCTGCTTCCTTTCGGTTCTTATCTGAATTCAATAACTCAACACATGTTCTTGGCTCTGATTTCTTTTTATTGGCTATATTTGCTTTTAATGTATGCCACTACCTAATTTAGGCCCCAGAGTTGAAGAGGGAAACAGGGATATGAGCCAGATTTCTGATGGTTGGCATGTGTAAGCTCACAGAGAGCCTTTTTAAAAAGCCATAAGCAACGCTTATGAACTTGCTAAGAATCAATTTTGCATGGGAAGCTTCATCTAAGCAACAATGTAAATGTCTTTGCTTTAGGAAATTGGCAGGGCACTATAACTATAAATGCAGCCTGTCATTCGTGTCATGAAGCTATCTATTATTTGATGCTGCCTTATCCCTTTGGAAAGTTCCTTAACAGCATATTAGGCCACTGAGCAGCTCTGGCCAAGGTTCCTCTTAAATACAGGAACCCTCCCATTTTAAACGTATTCAGATCAAATGGAGGCACTCTGGTGAGCATTTACTGGCTGCCACACCCTCCATCTTCACAGTAGTAATCCTGTAGGAAAGGTTTGGTGATAGATACCCTTTCTGCCTGCAAGAACCAGGTCATCAAAACCATCCTGTCAGAGATTTTGTTTTGTTTTTCGAGACCCTGTCAGAGATCTTGAGGGGCATAGTGAGATTCTGGACTTCAGGTTGGCTGTCTGTAGCTACATAGACTGCTAGATAGCAAATAGCTTGTGCTGCCAGGCCAAGCAGCCTTCAGCACAAGTGGTCTACTTCCCACTTTCCATCAGTCACTTTGCTATTTGTCTTCGGAATCTTTTGCACCTTCCCCCTCTTAAACCTCTTTGGCACCAGCTATCAGTGAGACCTCTGCTTCCTGGGCATTCTCTCCACTCCCGTGCTTCTGTGGTGCTTACCTTTTTTTTTTTTTTTTAAGACAAGAGTCTCACAGTGACTATGGCTGTCCTGGAACTATGTAAACTAGGCTAGCCTTGAACTCAGAGATCTACCTGCTTCTGCCTCCTGGGATTAAAGGTGTGTGCCATCACACCTGGACAGTTCATTAATTTCTTTTTCTTTTCTTTTTTTTTTTTTTTTTTGAGACAGGGTTTCTCTGTATAACCTGTGCTGTCCTGGAACTCACTCTGAAGACCAGGCTGGCCTCGAACTGCCCGGCGAGCTCTTGTGTCTTTATGTGACCTGTTGGAATGATTGCTTCTTTGGTCCTTTACTCCAGTGGGAGTTCACACTGCTGCTTTACAGGCAAGAAGACCAGATACTCAGCAAGTTGATGTGGTGGAATAATCCTATAGGCGGGGTTTGATGATACTCCTTCTGCCTGGCAGAACCATCTCTCAGAGACAGAGTTGGGTGGGAACAAAGAAGCCAATCGAACTTCAAGACAAGATTACGATTTTGTGAGAAGACGGAGAGTGAACAGTTGTGTGGCTCCTTGATGTTGTAGCTCCGGCGTCTCGGTGTAGACCTGCGGTAGGAGAGACAGTCTCTTCTCTCTCTCCTAACTCTTGTGAGAGTTTTTTTGATCTTCAGCTACATTTTCAGCTCTGTGAGGAACCTCATCATCAAAGGAGATGGCTAGCAATGTTACCAACAAGACAGATCCACGGTCCATGAATTCCCGTGTTTTCATTGGGAATCTCAATACTTGGGTGGTCAAGAAGTCTGATGTGGAGGCCATATTTTCAAAGTATGGCAAGATTGTGGGTTGCTCTGTGCATAAGGGCTTTGCCTTTGTCCAGTATGTTAATGAAAGAAGTGCCCGAGCTGCTGTAGCTGGAGAGGATGGCAGAATGATCGCTGGCCAGGTTTTAGATATTAACCTGGCTGCAGAGCCAAAAGTGAACAGAGGAAAAGCCGGTGTGAAACGATCTGCAGCCGAGATGTACGGTTCCTCATTTTTCTTGGACTATGACTTTCAACGGGATTATTATGACAGGATGTACAGTTACCCAGCACATGTTCCTCCTCCTCCTCTTATTGCTCGAGCTGTGGTGCCTTCTGAACGCCAGCGTGTGTCAGGGAACACCTCACGAAGGGGCAAAAGTGGATTCAATTCGAAGAGTGGACAACGGGGATCTTCTTCCAAGTCTGGAAAGTTGAAAGGTGATGACCTTCAGGCCATTACAAAGGAGCTGACTCAGATAAAACAAAAAGTGGATTCTCTGCTGGAAAGCCTGGAAAAAACTGAAAAAGAACAAAGCAAACAAGCAGTAGAGATGAAGAATGAAAAGTCCGAAGAAGAGCAGAGCAGTGCCTCTGTGAAGAGAGAGGAGACTGATGTGAAGCTGGAGTCTGAGGCAGGTGCAGATGACTCTGCTGAGGAGGGTGACCTGCTGGATGATGATGACAATGAAGATCGGGGGGATGACCAGCTGGAGTTGAAGGATGATGAAAAAGAGCCTGAGGAGGGAGAAGATGACAGAGACAGCGCCAATGGGGAGGATGACTCTTAAGTACACAGTGGAGCTTAGACATCATCTCCCGTTATTCATTTCCCTAGGCGCTTGTGAGAGAGCAAAGTAACACCAGATCCTCTGCCCTAGAATCTTCTGCACATTCTCACTGTTCTCCCTCTTTATCCTTCCTGTGTTCATTAATTCATAATTTCCCTGAGCCTAGTTCCATTTCACTTCCTTTGATGCTCTGTAGTAGTTTCGTTAAGTCTTACCCTGTAAGTTCTGCTTTAATTTTGATACCTCTTTGACTTAACAATAAAAAGTTGTATTTTTTTTTTAAAAAAAGACAAGATTACAAGATCTCAGAATAACAGCACACAGACAGACAGGCAGACAGACAGACAACACACACACACACACACACACACACGTCATAGAAATCTAGAAAATATCCTTCCTCCTTTTTTTTTTTCTCCTTTGAGACAAGGTTTCTCTGTGTAGCCCTGGCTGTTCTGGAATCAACTTTATAGATCTGGTTGGCCTGGAAATCAGATTGGCCTTCCTCTGCGTTGAATGCTGAGGTTAAAGGAGTGTGCCCCCCACCACCCAGGTCTAGCAATTCTTCTTCTTCTTTTTTTTTTTTTTAGCAATTCTTAAATAAACTAATAGATGCACTGGGCGAGTGTGATGTCTATTCTTGGTCCTCAACTTGATTATATCTGGAGTAGCTAAAACTCAAGCAGCTGGGCACACCTGTGAGGGATTTTTCTTGGTTGGATCATTTGAGGTAGGAAGACCCACCCTAAATCTGGACTGCACCTTCTAGTGGCAGCCTGGAAGAAGGACCTGGAAAAAGGACACTTTTGCTCTTTGGCTGCCCTTAAGTCTCACAGGTAGGTTCATTATTTCACTGTATTATAGCTAACTTCTTGTGGATTCCAAGGTATACTGAAGACCAGCTGAAGCATCCAGCCTCATGGACTGACAGTTGGACTCTTGGACGTTATATCTGGAGACAGCCATTGTTGGACTACCCCAGCCACAGCCTGAAAGTCACTCTAATAAATTCCATATGTGTGTTGTATGTATGTATGTATGTGTATCTGTAGGTATAGATTTACTCTATCAGTTTTGTACCTCGGAGAATTCTGACTAATAGTGAAGAATATTTGAAGGGTTTAAAATAAAAAGTTTAGGCAGAAATTTCTGCCAGCTTGACAGAAAAGCTGAAGCTTAAGGTCCTCTCACCTGAAATATAGGGATTCCCAGTATAGACAGGGATTCGTGTCTGTAGAAATTCCCCCACATGGAAATTAGCAGAGAGTAAAAAAGGATTTCCTTAACACAGGGACAATTAGATCGCAGGCCTGTAAAAAGATCAATAATGGCTATAGTTCGGAAACAGAAACAAGCATGTGTGTGATCTACAAAGATCTTCCTTAAGGAAAGCTCTAGAATAAATAGGTCGTGTTGCTTTCTCCCAACTGGCCACCAGAGCAGAAAGGCAATGGCCTGTCCCTTTAAGAGTCTGGTGGCAGTCGCTTTCCTCTCTCCGCCCCGCCTCCCGCGGCACCGGTGGCCTGGACGACCGTCCCTTTCTTCTCACGCGGTTGTATTACGGGTTAGTCGGCCTATCCGTCACAGAGACGCGGTCTATGATTGGTTGCTGCATTTCGGGCCGCGAGGCGGGGCGGGAAGGCCGGAGAAACTAGTTTGTTGGCGGCGCCGGTGCGGTTCGGCTACGGGATCGCGGCCGGGACTGGTGAGCCGGCCGGGGAAGGCGGCTGCGGCGGGGACTGCGGAGCTTGTGGGGCCGCACGGTGAGAACCAGGTGGGTACCGAGTCGACAGGGGGCGCCATCGTTGGGGCTTGTCACCAGGACAGCGAGCGACCCTGTGCGAGGATCGCCAGGCAGGGCGTAGGACCGCAGGCCCGGTTCACTGGGTCGGGAAAGTGGGTGCTGACCCAGGAGCGCCCCTCGGACGAGCTTGGAGGCCCCGTACTGTTATGTTCAGAGCTCCCGCCAAGGGAATGAATTGTTTTCCACACGGATGTTACGCGCAAGAGCGGCTACCCTCCCCCGGGAGTTTTTGATTCATTGAGTCCACTGATTCTCTTTTTTTAAAAAAATTACTATTGATCCTAGAAAGAGGAAGCTGCTTGTCTTCGAGGATGCGAACCGTGCAGCTTTGCGCCCGCACCTAGCCAAAGTCCCTGCTCCCTGCTTGTGCCTAGCCAGGGCCGAGAGGTTAAACCAGGGAAGAGTAGACAGCAGGGCCTGGCCGTGTGGCCCACAGCATAGAGTCCTTCCTGTCTGGGAAGTTGTCTGTCAAGGGAGAGTGGTGACACTCCCGCAGCCACACGCCCCTACTCACCCAGGTGGTGGCCGATCTGGCAGGGTTGTAGCAAATCGTCCACCCCCCACCCCCTTCCCCTCTCCCCTCAACCCTCCTCCCATGCGTTATCCTGGCGCGAGAATTCCACTGTCGTTTGCAAATCCCCACTTGACTGGTCTCTTTCATAGTTGTATTAGAAGCTTCTTTTTCCTATTCGAAAATTGTGCCTACTGGGGCACCAGACACTTGGGTGCAAGTGCCTTAAGGACCTCAACGTGCATTCTCACAGACTTTATTTAAAGTTTTTTTTTTTTCTCTTTTTTTTTTCATTTTTAGTCTTGCTATGTACTAGCCTTGAGCATGAAATCTCTGGTCCCAGCCTCCTGAGAGCTGGATTTATAAGCAAGTGCCACCATACCAATCCCGGAGAATTTCTAGAGACTGGAGCACAGGAAGTTGGGGGAGGGGCGGACTACCCGGGCCTTTGTAGTTCATCTGTACTTTGGGGAGACCAGAGGCCAAGTTGCTTTGGCCAAGCCTCCGTGGGCACTAGCCCTCCCTCCCTGCTGTGGCAGGACAAAGTATGCCAGTTGTCCGGGCTATTCACCCTATCCTGGAGTAGGATGGGGAGGGAGGGGGTACTTGGCACCTGACCCCCTAATTTGCTGAGCCTCTTTCATAAGCGACACAGTTATGCTAGGAGGACTTTTTATGGGTGTTGCTGAAAGCTTGTGTCTGGGGACAGAGGAGGGAAGACCCACGGTACTCTTAGCCTACAGTAGATTTGGTCCCTCTAAGACAGGGTTCATGAGATCACAGGCTTTGTCTGTGGAGGCCAGCAAAGTCACTTTTGTCCCAGGCCCTGTAATTATTGATATTTCAGTTGAGTCATTTATCAGCAAGTGAGTTCAGGGAGATTGTTTAATTATGGAGGATGGAAGGACAAAACCTTTGTCATGGGCGTCATGCTGCAGCTGGGTTCCCTGTGCCATGCAGTGTAAGATCTGCATGCAAGTTGCATGTTCCACAGTGGCTCTGAGAATGGCATCTTTAGCCAGTGGGACCACTGTGGGGAAAGAAAAGTAGGAAGAAAAAAGAAATGTCCCCATGTGTGGTGTGCAATGAATGCATCCTTCTTGTCATTCAGAGGGAGGGAGGGTGGCCTGGAGTAGTGAGCATGCTACACAGAGGTAGTTTTAGTCAAATTACTCATTGAGCAGACTATTGAGACCCTGCTTTGAGAGAGAAGTGGATTCTGGCATATGGACTGGGGATGCTGACACATCAGTTTGCAGGGCCCCAGTGAGCAGGGTAACAGAAAGCTGGAGAGGAGGGTGAAGGCTTCCTGGAGAGAGAAGGAAAGCTAGCACGGGCTACCAAACCTCCATTCCATGTCCTGGCTGCAGCTGTTTTTCTAGCCATCCATCCACACTCTTGCAGAACCAGCTCTAGGATGGGAGCTGACCATTCATTCTTGGTGGTGACTGTGACACTGTGGGCAGCTGTCCAGGTTAATTGAGGACCCGGTTTCCCATGCAGCTTCTGAGGGGCTCTGCTCATCAGCTTACTGCATGAGTCCTGAGTCCTTTATTAGCTGGCAATGTCAGTGTGCCCTGGGCAGGGGGTGTCTCTCTCTCTCTCTCTCTCTCTCTCTCTCTCTCTCTCTCTCTCTCTCTCTCTCTCTCTCTCTCCTATAGAGTTGGCACAAGCCAGCAGTGGTGGGCCACAATGAATTGGCCGATTGAAATGCTAATGTAGTAAGTCAGCTAATGTGGTAAATTTCATAATTGAATTGCCTTGCTGCTCTGCCAGTGAATCCTTTTCGAGGCCAGGAAACACTTGGGAGCCATGTGAGGATGGCCAGGCAGGCCTAGGCAGAACTTAAGCATCCACAGCTTACAGAAACCACATCCCAGCAGGACTGGTGATGAGTCTGCTGCTGTCTGGCTGCCACTGCAGGCTTTTTCTCCTCATCAGCGATTGTGCCTGAGAACCCTCAGCTGGTAGCAGTTCTAAAGGCATCTGAAGCTGACAGCTGCCTTGCCAGGTGTCTCTGGGGATTGTTAGGACACGGGAGGAGACACTGAAGGGACAGAAAGGGACTTTGAGGTTGGCAGGCTCCCCCTTAAGTTCTTCAGCACAGGGTGAGTGGAGGAGCTCAGGCTGCGGTTGGCCTGGGTTCAATTCCTTCTGGAGTCACTGTGAGGCCTTCTGGAGGATGGTGTGAGGTGATACCCAGCACTGTACAGCACATCCCAGAATGGTGTCTGGCATCTATTGGGCTGCTCATGCCCAGCTCCCTGTCCCCTTTGCTCTGTTCTCCTGACTCAGAATGGAGGTGTTATCCCTTTCTTGCTCTTAACCTTTCCCCAGTCCTGTCTTGGTTCCCCCTTGGATGATAAAAGATAAGCAACCATGGCCTGTTCTTCAAAGAGACAGTTTCCTGCGCTGAGATGTGCTCACTGATGAGTGTTAGCCTAGGATGGATAAAGCCCTGGATCAGACTAGGTATTGTGGCACAAACCTGTACTCCAGCAC